ATATGCTCACCGCTACTGAATATACGTAGAGATAAGAACCTGATTTTAGCTATATATCATATTTAACAACATAATCTGTTGGTTAGGTGCTGGAGGACTGAGTTTGCTGCAATACTGCAACTTGAATAGCTTCAGGACATTGTTCATATTGGGCTTCTCAATCTTCCTAGGCCTATCAGTTCCACAGTATTTCAACGAGCACACAGCCATCAAAGGCTATGGTCCGGTTCATACCGGAGGAAGATGGTTCAACGACATGGTCAATGTGCCCTTCTCATCAAAGGCCTTTGTGGGAGGATGCGTGGCTTACTTGTTGGACACGACGCTTCACAAGAAAGATGGTTCAATCAGGAAAGACAGAGGTAAACACTGGTGGGACAAATTCTGGACTTTCAAGAAGGACCCGAGAACCGAAGAGTTCTATGCTCTTCCTTTCAATCTCAACAAATACTTCCCTTCTGTCTGAATAACCCTTGCAAATTCTGTAATGTTATTGGCTAGTTTTGTGTCCCTTAGGTCCACCACACCTTATCTAGTTTGCTTATGTGTATATTCGGTGAGGAGAATAGAAACACAACTAGATACTAGTATTACATAACCCTGGTGTTAGTAATATTTTAGATACATTACTGTGATGCTTGTTTCTTCTACGTTTAGATGTTTTGCATTATTTAAGGTGATGTTCGTTTTGTCAAATTTCTAATTTGTGTTGGAATGCTGACTTTTATTGCAAATGATTGCCATAAAAAGGGAAATTTTATGAGTTTCGATGCTTTTAATTCCATTCTAAACTCTTTAAAGATCCACGCACCTTTTTACAAAATTGTACTGCTAAATTGAAACCCGTTTTGAAGATTATTAATAAGTTACCATTTTACTGATTGTCCGGTGATGCTCCGCTCCATGAATCTACCGAATAGGTGAATAGGTTTGTCAATTAGAATGTTGAATGGGACCTATTGGAAAGATGAATCTATACTATTATATATGAAGTCGCTGATCCTATGTGACAACTACAGAGTAGTTTAAGACTTGGTCTACTGAAAATATACTTAATGAATCTTGAAATTACATATCCATGCCATCACTATTAATGGACCACGATTTGCTGATATAAGAATAGATGTGTTTGATTGAATTTTTTTTTTTTGATTTAATTATTCTGTGTGCTACCAAATCTATACCATTATATATGTCGCTGATCCTATGTGGCAGCTAGGGAGTTTAAAACTTGGTTTACCGAAAATATCTTTAATGAATCTTGAAATTACATATCCATGCCATCACTATTAATGGGCCGCGATTTTCTGATATAAGAATAGATGGGTTTGATTGAAACTGATCTCATATGCTAAAAACGTGGCCCATAAATATATTTTTAGAAAAAAAACCCTACTTAAAACCATAAGTGCATCTATTATTCTTATATCACCATCGTTTTTGTTTCTCACTATGTTTTGTTTCATACTTCTTTTCTTTTCGTTTCATACTTTTTTCCGTTTCATACTTCTTATTGTGTATATATATGTGTTTTAGGGTTTGGTCACAATATGTTCTTGCATTTTTTAATTATTTTTCCATTGATCCTAATATATTTTGTCCATCATCTTCTTTCAGGAGGTTCATGGTGATGATTTTTTCCATAGTCTTCTTGCAAAAATTTCATCGTGTCACAATATAGGTGCAGGTTCTTCCATAATTTTTTTCTTTCGATTAAGCTGTAATTTGTTT